CCCCCCGGCCCCCGGCAGGCCCTGGGGATCCTCCATCCATCCCCCCCCGGCCCCCTCAACCCCCCCCTCACGGTCCCGGGTGGGGGCAGCTGCAGCTCCCACGGGGGCGCCCGCCCCGCACGGGTGGGGGGGGCAGGGGCAGACCCCCGGGGACGGGGGAGACCCCCCACCCCGCACCCCAAGGCTGAGCGGGGGGACAGGAGGCAGTGACAAGGCGGCTGGGATGCTCCGTTTATTGAGGCGATGCTGTGGGGCGCCCCGGGGGGGGCTGCGTCAAGGCACGGCGGCGCTGGGGGGGGCGCAGGGACCCCCGGGGAAGCAGGACCACGGCGGGGTGGCAGCGGCGGGTCCCTCAGGCCTTGCCGGGGTCCTCCTTCAGCGTCACCGTGCGGTTGAACACCATCTGGGGAGAGGGAGAGGGAGAGGGTCCGCTCGCAGCCCCACGGCGGGCAGGGGGAGCCCCATGGCCCCCTCCCCAGGGCTCACCTTCCCCTCCTCGCTGTCGGGATCCACCGAGAAGTAGCCCAGCCGCTCGAACTGGAACTTGTCAAAGGGCCGGGCGGAGAGGACGGAGCTGTCGACCAGGGCGTTGTGGACCACACGCAGGGAGTCCTGGCAGGGAGAGGCACCTCAGGCGGCGTCCCCAGCCCCCACCCCGGTCCCTCTCCCAGCAGCCCCTCACCCCGCTGGGACATGGCAGGGCCCTGCCCAGGGAGGGGTGGCGACACATCAAAGCAGGTGCCTCCGGCGTGGGTGCAGGAGGCCCCCAGTTCCCCCCAGGCCCATGACCCCAGCTCCTGCCGCTACTCACAGGATTGAGGTCACTCAGAAAACCGCCAGGCACCTCCGATGGGTCCTCGGGATTTTTGTGCAAAAACCTGCCACGAGATAGAGTCTCATCCCGAAGCCACCAGCCGAGGGGACGTGGGGCAGCAGGGACGTGGGGCAGCGGCTCTCAGAGCCCCACAGCAGCATCTCTGCCAGGCACAGCCCAGCAGAGCCTGCCGGCACACGGCCACGCCGCCGGGCCGGGTGACAGCAAAGCTGCCGCTCCAGCGCCGCTGAGCTTGCGCCTGCGCCTCTGCGGGTGGCCGGGTACTCACAGCCGCTCGTAGAGCCGCACTTCACACGCCAGCGGCTCCGACACCCAGTGGATGAAGGCTTTGGGCTTCTCCGCCGCGTCCGACTTGGTGCAAGTCACCTCCAGCTCGATCACGCGCCCACTGGCCTCCTGGGGGAGAGGAGAGGAGCTGAGCCATCAGGCAGCAGTCAGGCAGCAGTCAGGCAGCAGCCCCATCCCACTGGGCAGCCCTGGGGCCGAACCGCCAGCCCCCCAACTCAGGGCCACCTTGCTCCCTGCTGCACGGGGCGCAGGGCTGGCAGGGAGCCGCCACGCAGGCGGCCTGCACCCATGCTGTGCCCACAGCGCCCAGCCCAGGATGACCATCGCTGCCCTTCCCTGGTGGGGCATGGCCACATCCTGACACGCCCAACCTTGTGTCACCGGTGCCCAGAGCCACCCACCTTGATGACGTTCTGGATGGCGATGACATAGCCAGCATGGCGCAGCCCCACCGGCTGCCCGGGGGCCAGGCGCTTGTAGCCCTTGTCCACCTCCTGCAAGAGAGTTCATGGCTGCACGAGGTGTCCCAGCACGGGCAGCAGGTCCCCCTCCAGCATGTCTCTGTCCCCACTCCTGCCGTCCCAGGGATCGGCGCACCCAGGGCTGTTTGAACTCCCGTGTTGCTGCAGGACGTTCCCCAGCGCACAGGCACCATCGGTTGGACACATCCCAGCCAGGCTGAGGGCAGCAGACATTTCCCTGGTGCCCATCAGAGCTGCTGGCACGTCTGGGAGTCACGATAGGGTGCCTGACGCCCGCCTGTCCCCCGTGCAGCACCAGTGCCGCTCCCGGCCCTGCCAGGCTCCGGCTGCCCAAGCTGTAGCTCCCGGGAGCGAGGGCAGTATGGCCCGCTGGGCCTGGCTCACCTCCCTGAAGTCCGTCTCCTCGATGTAGATGGTAGGCTGGAAGGGCACTTTGTGAAAACCCCTGCTCTCATCAGCTGGGAAGTTGGGCACAAGGACCTCAAGTCCCTGGGGAGAAGGAGGGGGTGAACGCTGACCTCGGGGAACCCCGCTCCCACCCCAGCCCACAGCAGTCTCACCTTCGGGGCAGGGAAGTTGGTGATGGTGACCTTGAGGGGCTCCAGGACGGCCATGACGCGGGGGGCCTGCTCGTTCAACACCTCCCGCGCACACGCCTCCAGCAGATGCGGCTCCATCGTCGCCTGGGCCACCGTCACACCCACCTGCGGGACAGCCTGCCGTCACCACACTGGCCGGGGGATGCATCCACCTGCCCCGTCCCATCCTGTCCCCGGCACCTACCCGGGCACAGAAGTTGTTGATGGCCTCGGGGGGAAAGCCTCGCCGGCGCAGGGCTGTCAGCGTGAAGAGCCGTGGGTCATCCCAGTCCCTGAGAAAACACCGGTGCGGCAGCCAGGTGTGCCCTGGGCGAGACCCACCCTGGCTGCTGGCCCCACTCCTACCTGACGGCACCCGTCTCCACCAGCCGGATGATTTTCCTCTTGGAGACGACGGTGTAGAGCAGGTTCAGGCGCCCGTACTCCCACTGCACGGGGCAGTAGACATCCAGCGCGTTGCACAGCCAGAAGTAGGAGGAGCGCCTGCGAGGGAGGCACAGGCACAGCCCCGCTCAGCCTCATGCCCGCCACAGCCCCGCTGTCCCTCGGCACTTTGGCAGCCACTGGGACGCGGCCAGCTGCTTTCCCTCCCCGAGCTGCCCTGCCAGGTCCGGCTCAGCCCTGGGCCGTGCCATGCACGGTGCTCACCTGGCTTGGAACTCCTTGGTGCAGAGGGAGTGCGTGATGTGCTCGATGGAGTCGCAGAGGCAGTGTGTGTAGTCATACGTGGGGTAGATGCACCTGCGAGGCAGACGCAGTCAGCCCTGCAGCACAGCCCGGCGCTGCTCCCCTTCCGACACCTCCCCACTCCCAGGAGACGCAGACCCACCCCCGCCATGCGTGCCAGGATGCCGCAGGCCCTCCCTACCACTTGTCCCCCGTGCGGTGGTGCGGAGTGAACTTGACACGGTAGGCGACGGGGTCCATCTTCCCATCCTCCATCACCAGCTTCATCCGCAGCGTGGCCTCCCCCTCCCCAAACTTGCCCTTTCGCATGTCCTGTGGAGCAGGGGAGAAGCTGTTGGCTGAGCCACGGACACGGACCCCACGGGCACGCAGCGCCTGCCCAGCCAGGAGTACCTCGAAGAGCAGGAGCGACTCCTCCACAGGCCGGTCCCGCCACGGCGAGGGCGGTGGGTTGTGGCCCTTGATCTCCTCAACCTTCTGATGGCAGACATATGCCTGGCCCCTACAGAGGGGAAACACTGCCACCAGATGCCAGTGGCCCATCCCCTGGGTGAGGGGGAGCCCCGGCCATGGCACAGGACATCGGCACTGCCCCGGCGCATCCATACCGCCCCGGCATGCTCACCTGCGGATGAGCTCCAGGGCCCAGGTGTAGAGCTGGTCAAAGTAATCTGATGCATGGGTCACTGCGTAGGGCTGGTAGCCTGTGGGGACAGGGGAAACAGAGCAGGTTGGAGGCACCCCTGGGACCTGCATGCACAGATGTCCCCAGCAGCACCTGGCCTGACTCTGCCCTCGCCAGCCCGAGCCGTACCCAGCCACTCCACCATCTCCCGGATGGCTGTGAAGTACTTCTCCTCCTCCTTCTCGGGGTTGGTGTCATCATAGCGCAGGAAGCACACGCCACCGTTGGCCTGGGGATGGGGGGGGAAACAACAGTGAGCAGCCGCTCCCTGAGGGACCGCAGGGCCGGGCCAGCGGCCAAGCAGCGAGGCGAGGCAGGGGCCGGGGGATGCTTCTCACCTTGGCGTAGCCAAAGTTGAAGTTGATGGCCTTGGCATGGCCGATGTGCAGGATCCCGTTGGGCTCAGGAGGGAACCGGGTCCGCACCTGCAGGGGGAAAAGGGGACACTTCAG